GGTGAGTAATAAAACATCCAAAGCATTCCTGCAAGGGATAGGGTGATCTTGACTAGGGGCTGCCTGTTGTGCATGTAGAGGAGGACTCATAATAGCATGTAAAACACACAGCTGCAGGCATTAAGCACAACTGAGAAACTGTGCCCTGGAAGTTCCTTTGTGATTAAAATGATACCTTAAAAATACAGTGGCTTTCAGGATGAATGCAGAGAACTGGGCTCCAAACAGCATTATTTTATATGCTTTCAAGCTGTGTCTAGCCAAGTTGTTTATAGGCTATCAGCCACCACGCTGAGTGCCATTATGCAACAAGTGGAACAGTCCTGTACTTACATTATATTACTTTGGCCATTTTGCATGTTTTAGAGCCTTTAAGTTATCTTTCTCTTGGGTTCTGCAGTGTGAGAGCAGCTGATGACATTCTGTAGCTCTGTTGAGGCTGGAGTACTATGTTTTCTCTACTGTTTTTTTGCTCCCTACCATGACAGTCACATTTCTATCAAGGAAGATTGCTCAGAACAATCAGAGCTTTTAATGAAACTCTAAAACTGTATTTTCAACATTTTGAAAGTTAACATTTTTAAAAAGTAGTAAAGAATCCTTTAGAAATCTCAAATATGTGGATTGTTGCTGAGTCTATGTGATCTTCCTGCTTAGCAATATTTCACAGAACCCAGAGAAGTAACTGATGGGTATCAACAACACAAAGACCAGAAAACTTCTAATATGCCTCAGACAGACTGTTCCTTTCAGGTGAGAAATGAAGCCATCTTAATCACTTTTTCAGTCCTGAACAAAATATTCTCTTTCTCCCATATTTTGCTCCTATCCCTGTTGTATCTTGCTATACAATTCATCTTTTATCATAGTCAGAATGTTCTTTGTCCAAAGTTGTACTTTTATACTTCTGTTTTCACATACTCGTATGCCTTGGTTTTGTGTGTACTTTGTTACCTTAGCAGCAGTAAAGTTCTGTTTAATCTTCCATGAAGACCTGGCATAACAGTGAATCATTCTCACCATGAAATCTTTAGAAACTACCCCCTGCCCCTCCTATAAGCATTGGAAACTGCTCATAAATCATTTTAGCAATGTTTTTAATTTGTTACATTTTCTCTACTTAACTAGATGTTTGTACCATTGTCTTCAAGCCTCTAGAACTGTACAATAGAAATGGAGCTAAAGTATGGCCTTAAATAAATGGCTTCAGGACATTTACCAGCAGCAGCTGCAGGACAGAGCATGATATTCACTCTTAACCTGTACACCACCTGAAAGTGCAAAATGTTATGTGATGATGTCTGATTGGTTTTACTCTCCACAGAGTAATAGTTCCCTGCTTAGGAGCCATGTAAAGCAAGAGGCTGCTCTACAAGCTTTAAAATCTTTAACTGCTCAGTGTAATGTTTCTTTCCCCTAACTTTCTGTATTACTTCCACAATGAAGTAATTGTGGCTTCTTGATATGTATGGATACACTAGCAAAAGAGATAAATGAGAAAGCTGTCTGGATTTTCAATGCCTGTGTTGCATCCAAATTGATACCAAGAAGTTAGGAGTGCAAAAATTTTAGCCCAAAATATTATAAATTTACTTATAAAAATTGAGAACTGCAAGAAAATTCATTGAAATAATTGAAATACAGATTTGTTCAAAATCTGCTTCAAAGGGTGTTTGAAAGGGTACTTTAATTAAGTTGTTGCATTTGTTGTCAAGTGGTTAAATGCAGGCAGGAAGTCCCCTGCTCTGTCTTGGATGGTGTCTCTAAACATGTGTGGAATAAGGATGCTGAAACTTTGGCTAAAGCTGTGTCAAGTGTAATGGTTGGAAGACCTCCATGAGCTCTGACACTTTAGCTCAATTTGAGTCTATCAGCTCTGGCCATGAGTTTAGCTGCTTAGACTCTGTTTTGAAACTCAAACTGTAGGAACCTCCTGACCTAAGGGCTACAGGAGTAAAAGGGAGAATCTAAAAACAAAAAGAAAAATGTATATTGCCTTGGCTGGCTACAGATTAGTTTGGGGTATTTGAAATGGAATAGTGGGTCTGGATTCTTCTAACAGGTGATAGTTTTACCTTTTCAACTACCTCATTTTTTCCTCATAGATTTTTGTGAATTTATGCAGCTCCGAAATACTTTCAAGTGATCTGAAATGAAAGTTGTTTGTTTTCCAGATGGGAAAGGAGACTAAATCTGTGGCTTTTGACGGTTACAAAGTAGAAGATTCTTAAAAGGAGAGGAAATAACCTTTAAAATACCTTAGTTACAGTTTTTACAGTCCCATTAGAATTCTTAATTTTTTTATTTACAGCTCATGCTTTTTCCAGTTAGTGCCATTGCCACATAGTTTCTCTAGGCTACTGGTTATGTGTCAAGGCTCTCTCTGATAGGTAGGAGCATCCTCTTTTTCTATTTACCGAGAGATAAAGGTGTTCAGTAGCTTTCAGAATCAGACTTGCTATAATTTTTTTTCTTTTTTCCCCCAGCTGTATTTAAGAAATATATTAGAAAGCAGGAGTTATTAATATTACAGCTTAGTGCTACATATTAATACTGTGAGTGAATCACATACAACCAGCTGCAGTGGGTTACCCTGATTCTATTTTTTTCATAAAATATGGCCAAAATTGAATATTAAAACCAATATTTTTTAGTAGTGAGTAAATAGAGAAATAAGTGGGAAGTAAGCACCTCCATCTTTTAAAGAAAACGTAAAGAAACACAGGAAAATACGTTGTCAGAAATAATCCTGCCGTGTGAAAGAAATTCACTGAGTAAGGTAATGGGAATTTTCCAGCAAATTCCTATAATTACACACCTATCACAGAATTTTAACAAGCTGTTTGGTGTTACCTTACAAACCAACATAAAGAAAAGTTTGTGTCCTTCGCTCCTTTTGCTGAGCAGTCAGCAGCAATTAAGCAGTAAACACTTGTTGGTCACCGGTTAGTGGTTCCCACAGTAAAAGTTATGCTCAAGTGAAGACAGGAGCACTGAAGCCAGAAAATCTTAACCTTTGTACCTAAGTGTACTCTGAGGAAGTTTACTCTTACTTTTCAACAAGCACTCTCATGAAAACAAAGTAATGTGTAGCTATAAATCTTTGCAGGATTGGTAATTGAATTCACATTTTGGGATTGGACTTTATATTGTTGACATTAAGCTCCACTCCAGAGGACAGAGAAGTCAGCTTAAAACTTCCTAATGACTTCCACAAGATAAATCAAAGCTCAAAGTGAGCACTGAGCATTTTATAGCTCAGTGCTATAATCCTGCTTCAAGACCTGCAGGATTTCAAAACGAATGATCAATATTAAAATGTAAAGAAAGTTTTAAGGACATATTTAGCAGCAAGCCAAGGTCTGTGCTTAGTCTGGACAGTGGAAGATCACTGAGGGCAGTGGCAATGCAAAGGTGTGAAGGAAGCTGACACCACGCACTTTAGCATTGGGGTGATACGGTTGAAAGGGAGAGTTTAGTCAGAGGAAATGAGTAACCATCTGGCTGCAGGTAGAGAAGTAAGAAGATGAGGGTTACAACTGTAGTAACATGTGTAAGGCTGCCAGCTATGTGGTTCTTAGACTTTAAATAAAGACAGGCTGTGTCCTCACAGACCCAAAAGCTGATGAGGGCTGTAGGGATTCCCCTTGGTCCCTTGCAGATGAGCTGACTGACAAAGGATTATTTGGGGTTGTCTGCTTATCCCTTTGATTAATAACATCTGTTCCACGGCTGACAATATTGGGAACTGTACATCTATACCAGAGAATGAAAACGGGTAGCACTGTTTAACTCCTTTGGGATGTGTGGTGTAGGACAGCTCTCTTGCCCAGTGGCCTACTCACCTTGTGTTGTCCCTCTAGCTTGCCTCGACAGGGATACCTGCCCAGAACGGCTTCATTTTCCACCTCTTTGCCGCAGTAAGCGGCGGCCAGCGGGGCCAGACCGGGCCCCGGTGGAGCAGAGTTGGCAGCTCCGCACGGGGCAGGAGGACCAGGAGCGGCCTGAGCTATGAGCTCTCTTGGCGGGGTGGCTCAATTTCACACGTCGTTCACCTCGACTGGTGGGCAGCGCACCTGGAGGGCGGCACAAGCCCCTCTTATCCTCCCAAAGGCACCAGGTAGTCCCGGGCTCTGGGCACAGCAGCTGGGGGCGGG